CTTATAGAAAAAGAGAACAAGTAGAGGTGTGAGTTATCTTGGGTTTCATTGATCTTCAGCAAAGCGTATGAAATGTAACCGGTTTGCTAGAAGTATGGAAGAAATTAGGATGGACTTTCAAATAGTGAAAACTTACTGGACCCACAAGAATCTTATATAAAGAAATAACACCTCTCCAGAATTAAGTCTACAGCAGCTGCTCGGATCCATTCTCAGTCAGCAAAGGTCTGCGACAGGGTTGCTTGTCTTTCTCGCAACACTGTTTAAAATTATATCTGGCATCAAATTTTTAAGCAGTGGGAGAAACAATGCAGAGTAATGGGAAGCGACGATCGGAGAGTGATATAATTTGTTTAGCGTTATATTTTTGCGAATGGCCAGGTAGTAATTGAAGAGGAATGCAGAAAGAATTTGAGTTTCATGATCCGTAAAACTCAAATGACACTTTTTAAAAGCAGGACTAAATAATATGGACAAGATCCTGAAATACATGGCAGTTGGTAAAAATTAAATAGATCTTGTGGAAAATGGAGGAAAAATGATGGGGTAAACAAATATAAATACCTTGGTGTCCTTTTTAACATAAGGGAATGCCATGACGAAATTTAGAGACGAATAAGGTTGGGGAGAAAGTGACACGAGTATAAACTATCTTATGGAACAAAACATCACTAACACTACTAAAAAGAACGTTTTTACTCCTCGCTAGTTAAGAGTGTTACAAACATACGGTTTCAGAAAGTGCTGGGAGAATCGATAAAAGAACAAAAGGGAAGCTTGCTGGACCTTGAAAATGGACCTACTGGCGTAGAAGCTGCTGTTATAGCAGACGTGACAGAATAGGAAGCGACGAGAGTAAGAATAAATGGATGTCAAGAAATCTATCTTGACGAATAGAGAAAAAACAATCGTCTGGTACGGTCATGTTATCCGAATGACAGACGAAGGTGGCCAAACGAGTCTGAATGGGTGCGACAGAAAGATAGAAGAGATGAAGACCCAGACTTGCATGGCACCAGGGAGTGCAAGAGGCTATGACGCAAGAGAAATGCAGACTGATCTATGGTCCCAATAGAGAGGCATGGAGACAGCGGAGCAAGCGGCGACCAGCTGTAGAGCAACTCGCCGTTATATATATAATTTCAGTTAGTAAACCGATTCATTTTTTTCCAATAACTGAAATTAAACCCGATCTCGAAGAAGGAATCGAGGTAGATAAGATATTCAACACATCTAAACGCACTCTCACACAAAGAAGGTGCAGCAATACACATACACTTAAACACAGTGCGGCCTGAATGGAATCCCAATATATTCATGCAAAAGATGCTCACCGCCATTAAGTACCTGTTGGCTATATTTAATTGAATCTATATTCCCATCAATGTATTCCCTAAAAGTGGTCTGAAGCTATTATTGTGCCGATCCACAGGACCAGGGAGAAGGAAAATCCTGATAAGCAGCTTAGGCCTATTACATTAACATGGTTGCCCTTTGTAACCTGGTACAAAAAAATAGTGAATCAGAGATTGAGGTGGTACTTGGAAAATACTATTTACCCCAATATATAAAGCGGATTCCGGAAAAATCTCAACAATGGACTGTTCTAGCATAATACAAAACAGCAATATAAAGACGGTTTTTTGCTAATAATAGGAAACCCTTAGTTGTAAGCTTAGACGGTGGAAAAAGCCTATGAGATGAACGTTGGAGAAAGACGGGTTGTGAAATTAATAACGTCGCCAAGATTAACATTAACAAGTTTTCATTTAGCAATTTCCTAAATAACGCTTTATAAGATTATGAATAAATGGAATCCTGGTCGGACGCTATCGCAAGTTATGAGAGTGGCGTCCACAGGGGTCAGTATTCTAGTGTTACTAGCTTGTTTTACTTATTAATGATCTCCAGAAAATATTAACCTCCAGCATCATTTCAATATGTATGCGGATGAACAGGCAAT